TGGTCTTGAATGATTCGTAAATATACATGTGGATTCTTTCCTAGTCATTATATTCCTCCGAGTTGATTTTATTACGTCCAATTCCAGCGACATGGTTCTGATTGAGACCTTTTTAGGTACAAAATGGACAGGTTTTCTGTAACAGAAACATCTTTGATCTTTGTTTCGACTTTTGAATTGAAATCAAGGCACAGCAGGTTGTTAAGATGGCACTCTTTTTTGAGTGCCCAATTACCCAACAACACACTGCTGACCAGCAAGACTTTGGGAAAGCAAAGTAGCTAAGTGAACAGAGGGTATCGACCTGTTTTTGCAAGAAACTAGAAGATCAGCTTCAGCATGGCTGTGTGGTTTCTTCCATAATCTCAGAAACACTTTATGCAAAAAAGCAACTCTTATTTTCAGGTTTAACTGCCCTTCCCTGCAGTTTCCGTTGGTGGTCTGTGGTTCATTATCCACTGATAATCTTGAAGAAAAAAGCCCATTGGGTTGACTATGTCAATAGTGTCCACTACCTGAGTCAGTAGTGTTCAATACTTGATCCAAACATAGTTTATTACAGTTAAGTAAATAATAGATATTCAAGTTTTTGTTATCATCTGAGTGCTGGACATTCATGGAGTTTATATAACGAAAGTTCGGGAGTGATGACAACAACCACGCTCAATCGTTCCCAGCCGTCAGTGATTAGCAATCATTCCCTTCATCCAACCCCAACCGAACGCTATAAATACCAACACGATATCTCTCTCCCTGGCGTGCGACTTTCACATCCCACCTCTGCAGCTGCCCCTTGGTTACCCAGCGTGGGGGTCCTGTCCTCCTCGTCCTGTGGCCAGGAGGTCGGCCCTCAGCCAAGCAGGTTAAGCCAAATATCCGCTCCATAATACTGTAGTCCATTACACGTTGATCTTGGGCGTTGTCATTCCTAGTGAACTTCAAGCATGTAAATATACCGGAGGGCTTTTATCTGGATCAGTTCTAAAGCAGCAAGAACTTTTTTGTTATAGACAGTACACTACATACTAAATGGGATTTTTTAAATGTGTGATACAATTTTAAAATAACTTTTCTTCATTTAAATTGATGCTTTTGACTAAACATCCTTATGTAGTGTTAGTCTGTTTTTGCTCCGCCAGATTGTCAATGAGGGAAAATGTTGTGTCAAGAAAAACAACTTTTTCATGGTAGCATCCTTAAGCACTTTGTCTTCTGTCTTACAATTTTTTACTTAATCTTTTTTCTACCTGTATGGTACATGACAACTAATCAAATTAGCTAGCAAGCAAGGAAAATGACACGCATGCATCTATTTTAAATTTAACACCGTTTTCCCTTTTAATTGTTATGTTGAATATCTTTTTTGCAATGGATATCATTCGGCTCCAGAAAAGGAATTTGTATCATAACTTGATGAAAGCTGTTTGGCAAAGCTGTTGATCTACAAAACATCTGCCTCGACACTAAACATCTCACAACAGGCATATCAGGAATCACATGCTCGTTCCACATACAATGGAATTCTCACTGTTCCTCCTTGTTATGGTCCAGGCTGTGCTGTGAGTCACCAACTTCACCTTTATTTTCTACCTGGAATTTTCCTCTCCATGTGTGAGTCTGTTATCTCTCCAGCTAGGTAAATACCTTTGACGTGAGGGCCTCAGACCAGTTGAGCAGCTGACATGCTAATGCAATTAATAGCACGCTAAAGATTCCTCAGAATTCTGCCATTTGATCATTCTTATTTAACTGTGTAGAAAAGGCCAGAACCGATACTCTCTTTGTGTATTTTGCATGAGATTTACGTTTAAATACAGGTTCCTCCTTTTAAAACGCAAAGGGTAAGGAATTGGGGGGCGGAGCGGTGAAACTGTGGCTAAGGCTCTGTGGCTGGAAGGTTGCTGGTTTGTATCCCGTGGTTCGGCAGAGGAGTCCTACTCCGTTGGGCCCCTGAGCAAGGCCCTCAGAAAAGAAACACGACGTTTCGGCTGTGGACACCCGAAGAAGGCTCCACGGCTAAAACGTTGTTTCTTTTTCTTCTCTTTTCAGCGTGGAATAGACCTTTACTTGTTCCTTTGCAGCCTACGCATGCTGTCGCAGCTACAGAAATGAATAAAGATTATTTTCATGTTGGAAAACGTGAAAACATTCAAGAGTGCTACTGTCTGTAGAGGAGGCTGACAGAAGATTATGCTGTGCAAGTCGGAGGCTACTATGAGCAGATGGATCAGAGGCACGATGTTCTTTCAGCTATTAGCAGTGACCGCCCAATGGCACCAGCCAAGTATGTTGGCAATGTTTAACAAGCCATCCATCTTTTACCTGCTCTCTTTAAACAGGAACCTTTGTTTGAACCATGGAGTCATTAGGCTCCTTTTCTCACTGCTTTCAACTTTTCAACTCGATTTATATCCTTATGATCCAAGCACTGTATTCAATTTATTACGGGATCTTAATTTATTTTGGCCGCTGAGCAAAATGCTCTCAGACATACAGTATATACATACGATATGTAGTCTTTAATATGGCACAATTAACAAAAGAAGATTGTAATTGTTTTCACCATTCCGGGCAGAAAGTTCCTGAGTTTCTTGTCTCGTGTCTCAAGAGAATGTTAATTGATTCACCATTTAAATCTGTCTCACAGTAAACAATTCTGTCCTGGTGAAAGAAAATACAAAATAGTTTTGACATTTAGTTACCATGTAGTAATGAACTTTATATTGTAAAAGTGTGGTAAAGTAAAAATCTGCATTTACTACAGGTAAACAGCTACTAAAATTATTGTTTTAAATTGTACTTTTAGGATGATAACCATTTTCAATGCGAAAAAAATTACACATTTAGGAAATTGAAATTGTAAGCAGTTATGCACTTATGCAGTTATGTTGGGTTGGAAGGACTTTATCAAAGAAAATAGGTGACTTTGGAAATGTTTGTCATCTGCAAGCGTCATCTGTTTTGCTTCAGGGAAAAAAGAATATTCAATTGATTACCGATTTGCCTGTTTGAATGCCAGGGAGGTAAATTGTATTTATGATAGATAAAACATGCCTGACACTCTGAAACAGCGTTATATAACACAACAGTTACAGTATTGAAAAGTGAAAAGATATGGTAGGCTGTTATGTGCTTTACAAAGAAAGCCAAAGGAGCACATGAAACAGTTTCATCAATGAGATCATCATTGTAGACACAAAAGTTTACACTGTTTTATTGGTATAAATATAATTTACAACAAATTAACAGCATACAATTCGAACAAATAGAGTAACTTTTCGAGTAAATAGAGTAATGTTGTCAGGACACTTACACTCATAAAGATGTATCCTAACGACCTATCAACCAATTATAAAATAGTTCTTTTCTCTAGGTTAGAGTTTGTAAACATCGGGTGTCTCCTATGTCCTTCAATTAAAAAGGCTGTTGTAGAAGTGTTTACCTTGTCACATACTTAATTGCTCCATCGCTGTATAGTTCTTTTTCTAAGATACACTGATGGCTTGAAATGGTGAAGTAGACAAAACAACAAACATTAGAAATGCCATTAAAAATGGCATTTTTGATATTGTGATAGAATACTTTTTCGAGCAATATTCCGACGTCGGCGATTGGTTGATCTCGTGAAAACAGATGTATGTCTCAAGCAGGCGTGTCATGAATTTTTGAGGTGGAGTTTAATCATTTTCACTTGTTTACCATTAAAAGTCTCATCGAAGGATTTTTTGGGTGGGAAAATCCATGTGTTATAGTACATACAGTGTAATAAACCATTGAAACATTCCTTTTCTGTCCAAAGAACAAGGTATCACACATCCTCTCAGGTTGTTTTATGCCTTGCCTGTAACAAACTAAATTATATTTCTTGAACACCTTAATCATATTGGGGAGCATGCAAGCCACTATTCTGAGCTTGTTCCTGTAATGTACCTGCTATTTATCACCTACTTCTATGAAATGTCCCAGAACAAATCCCTTAGAATGTGCGTTATAAATGATTGACCCACCACTCCCACTGCAGACCTCAAATGTTTTGAACGCAGTGTTTATTCAGGAAAGTTTTGTCATATTTTAACCTTGTGCTCTAGTGGTGCCGTGGTACGTCTCTTGCTCTCACTTTAGTGGGGAGACAAACCCTCTTTAGAAAAGCTTTTGCATGTTCAGGCAAAAGCAAGATAAGAATTGCCCCAGCCCCCTACACAAAAATAAGAATGTGGTTGTGTACACTTAATTCCTTAAAGATAAATGTGCCCTAGCATACTGACTCTTTCTAAAAGAATGCTCATGCTTTTTTTCCTCCCAAGACAAAGCTTTGACTGCAATGAAATGAGCATTAGGACTCTCATTCACATCATGAGCTAAGGCACAAAACCTTTTAGAGCCACTTTTAATTAATTAAAGCAAGAATAAAATGGAATGGAATCATGAATAAGACATTTCTGTGGACCAGTCTTTTCACTGAAGGCAGCAGTGACAGACCTCGGTAGTGAACCAGATTGATTTAGTGGTGTCAAGTGTTGGTGTTCTAAAAGCGAGCTGAAACGCCGTGTTAAATCGGGATTGACAGACCTAATTAATTAGCATTAATTCATGTTAACACAACCTCGTAGTCTGATATTGTGGGATTAAGCCCTAACCGTGGGCACCTCTCTGAAATTTCAAACCTGGTTGAAGAAAATAGTTTATCGGGAGGTTGTGTGATTTTAGGTCATTCGGCCATCTTCTCCTCCTTGTCATGTTTATAATAGCCTCCCATGAAAACCTGTCATCTTATCTGCTGGTGACATTTACGCTAGGAAAAGAGGTGTTGAAGGATTTTGTTTTTAACCACGCAAATAGTAAATAAGGCAGGCAACGTTTTATTTACTATTCTGTCCGCACTTCCACAACTAGTTCCAGAATTCTGGCAAACGTCATAAAACCTCTCGCAATCCACTCAATGTGGTTTATACATTTGGCATTTATCTTCTGCAACTGATTTCACTTTTTCTTTCCAACAGGTCCATGTCCTGGAACTGGATGTTTGAAGAGGACAGTTGCTCTCTGTATCAACCTGCATCCCTCAGAAAGAGATACAGAGAGGCTTTTGAGTACATGTGTTCATTAGTACCTGGTTATGACTGTGGCTAACCTGATGGCAAATATGAAATATCAAAGCACTTGTCAGCACTGCTGAATGGGACAAAGAAAGGCTGCATTAATGATTAACTGTGCTAAAAGCCCCGGCTTTTGTATTCCCATGGTGCCTGGGCTATCTGGCTGCCATGTGACATGCTCAGGCCATTTTCTAGCAGATTGAGGAAAGCTAGTGAGCAAACACAGGTGCTCTGGAGTCAGCACTGCTGTCAGGGACAACCACAAACAAGACCAGCTATGCCTGGCTAAATTAGCTCCTCTGTTTGCCTCTGCTTCCTGGAGATCTTACATTTCAAGTCCAGTGTCTTTTGCCACTATTCTCAACCATTCACACTCTGCGTTAAAAAAAAAGCAGGGGGACCCCAACAGACAGCTATTTTGAAGCAACAGCATTTGGTGGCCAAATGTGGGGAAAGAGTAAACTAATTAACCGTGTTCAAGTCTTCAGCTTCGAAAACAAAACAAATGTATTTTTCTCAAGTGGGGCTACTTCTGTGACCCTGCGTGACACGCAACGGACACAAGGATTCTGCAACCAGTAGCTAAAAACATGTGAAGCACCTGAACAAAGTCATAGAATATGAATAGTGCAAAAGAGGCTTGCAAGAGGCTTGAATTGCTCAATACAAGCGCACATACGTAGCTACTCGTGCTATGAGTTAAATGTTACAAGGTTGCAAAGTTATCCCAGTGCTGGAAAGGTCCCCCTAGTGGATAATATTATTTTAATACTCTGCTTGGCACATGTCTGGCAGGCTGTCTTTTATTGTTCAAATATTTATATTTGTATATTACAGTCCTCTCTGCTCAAATTCCCAGCAATTACAGGAGACTAGTAAAGCCCAGATTATCGGTCAAAGATGATAAAGGTGTTTTAAGTAAACAGTAAAAAGCAACAAGAAAGGAAATAAAGTTATAAAGAAATAGAGAAAAGGATATGAGCAGGGTCAGCACAGCAGGGTGCTCAGCTCAGTGGAAGGGTTATTGCCTGCATGTTTCAAGTAATGTCAATATAGGATACGTTCACTAAACTTTACAACATCAGCTATGATTTACAGAATATGTTTTCTGGTCTGTAATTGGTTATACTTTCATGTCCATGTTCCATGTTCCATGGGTCTTGAATTTTCTAAAGAAAAACCCAAATAAGCAAATATTGTAAAATGAAAAATGAAATAAATATCTTCCAGCTCACTCTTGGTCCTTAAATGATTCATGACTGTCAATTTGGGGACTTTATATACCGTAAACATTACACGCAACAGTGTGTTATGTGCGTATTAGATTTGTCTTAAAGAATTTCTAAATTTTGTGTCTGGAAATTATATTATTTCGAAACTACTCCTTCATGCTTTTTTAACATTTTGGGGGGACAGAATAACATTTGTGAGCAAGAAATGGCATGTACGACACTGGTGAAAATGTCCATTAAAAATAAATTTTCAAACAGCATGGCAACTCTACTTTGTCAATAATTAAAGAACTGGCTATAATTAAAGAAGTGGTCAAAAGTTAATACACAACAGTTTCAAACTGAAGATGAGGCACTACTTACATTGATGTAGGCAGGCATTCTGATTGCTGTGGATTAAGCTCTTTTTCAGACAGTTAACAAAGGCACCCCTTCAAAGTTATGTAGGAACTGGAACAAAGTTTCCTCAGATGGTTCATTTGTATGGCTCAAAATCCTCATCTTCAGTTTTTAGGATCCACATTACTGTAGATCAGTATAGTAAAGCCTAAGGCCTAATGTCACACAACACAGCAAAAGGATCTGAGCTTTGTTATTAACCCATTGTACAAGCGCAAAAGATGTCTGCTCTATTGTCAGTGAAAACAGAGCTATCAAAGCAAGTTTCAAGTAATGAGGTAAAGCATGAAAGCTCATTGAAAATGGCAATATTCTCAAAGGCTCTTTGAAGTTCTGGGCACAATGTGAAAATTGTAAAGAGCAAATGTGCTATAAGAAAGTAAGCACTGAATTAACCTCTGCCTTTTGTTGTATCGAATCATATTCCCTTCAATGAAAAGCGAAAAATAATGTGAGATCTCTTATTTGAAGATATCATACAGTATTTGATTGTATTTGATTTTTTTTTCTGATATGAATGATCATATAGATGACGATGTCGATTTAGACATATGGTAAATCAAATGAGACTTCTCCTGTTTTCAATATTTATGGATCATTTCGTCGACAGAGACAGAAACATACAGTTGTTTAATTTTTGTTATCCACACATTTTCAAGTACGAATCCTACTTATTAAAATTCAGCAAGTACTGTAATTATCACCTGCTACAAACTGGCTTTGCATCTCTAGGAAATAGTACAATTTGGACATGCAAAGAACACAGGTCATTCCCATAAACCTAGTATAAATACACGAAGGTAGAACTGTCGTGTTGAAATAATCTATGATCCATTTTAACTTAAGTTTTAATATGAAAATTAATAATTTTTTAAAAGATAATTCAGTTCTGAAATTGACATCCTTTTAGAGACGACTGTTTAAAAAATGAAGGAATTTAAAGACAGCAATTCTGGTAAAACAGACAAATGGACATGTTTAGTTGGAGTTGTGGAATGTAATAAATGTATGTTTTATAACCTATAAGGACTTAGAAGTGCAATTAAACCCCAAGGTCACATTATTGACATGCAATAGAATTGAAAGTGGAGTCACTTCAAAGCAGAGTTTTTTACTAACAGCTGTAAAAGCCTTTATAGTGGCTTATTAAAGATAGCGACACACCTAACTGGGCTAGTTATCTCAGGTCACGCCCACAACTTCTTTTAATTTGAAGAACCATTAAACTAGTCCAGGTGCTGATGTTCTTTACTGTATAGCCATGTTGCATTTTTAATTTCATATAATAACGCAGAAATCGTTTTAAGCCTGAAGAGGATAGACACAATATGCTGTTAACACCATTTCTCCAGTAAATTACTGTAGGTACTGGGAAAATGTTTTTTTTTATGCTATTTTTCCAGATGTAACTGCAAAACAGAGAGTTATGTATGAAGTAATAAATTAACTCAGAATGTTAAAGAGAGACAATGCTCGCTTTAGATGAGCTATTATCAGACAGAGAAAAAGAAAATCTAATTTGAACGATTGATAGTACACAGATTAATCAGTTATTTGTTGAGCATCACCCCTTTTCTGTGCAGTTTTAGAAAATCACCGACTATTAAGAAAAATAGCAGCTGCCCTTACTCTCAATTGCAACGGCTGAATAATTGCATAATAAAGTGCTTGTGGCAAAGAGCTGTGGGATCAATCATTGCACACAATTGTGCAGCCTTACTCTTTTAATCTGCATTAACCTTTAACAAAACCTTTAAATGTCTGGGGCATGTTATTATGGGTTGAAACCAACCACGCATTCGGTTCCCAAAGGATCAAAAGACCAGGGATCCTCGAAAAATGTCTGTGGGAGATAATACTACTGTATTATAACTCAAAAAACAAATCGCCAAGACAAGAAAAACAACGCAGCTTGCCTTTTATTTCCCTGGGCTGCAAAACTCCCAATTAACCCCCCCGTCTTTCATCCAAGTCATGCTATAATAGCCACGGCACATGTACAAAGAGTGTTGTTTTTATCCGTCTTTTCGAGCAGTGACAGGTGCACACTCGGGAAAGTGCCGACAGGTATGGGCCCTCACCCAGACTCGACTCACCTTGTCTGTCAGCTGTCTTAAGTGACTAGCTGCTGAAGCCATTAGTGCGTATTCATTTTCCACAGGCGGGGGGGGGACCTGCACCAGCCACACAATCTGGTTCGCATGATGCTCCGCTTGGACAAAAAAATGCCGAAATGGAGAAGGTCAGAGGCTGCAAGAAAGCACCGCAGATGCTATCAGCATGCTTGAATTCAAGTAAATGATGGGTATACAGGAAAATATGTTTCTTAAAACAGCAGGGTATTAGAGTAAACACACAGCAGTGTTCAGTTAAACTGTTTGACTCACTTTCTCATTAATGTTAATAGCAATTAACTGGTGTTTATTTAAAAATTGAAATCCACTGCAGAGTAAGAAATAATATTTGACAACCCCTTAAGATTAATATGCCTTTTAGAATTGATTCTAAAGATGGAGTTTGTTTTAGAATTATTTTTTTTTTATCAGTGTGCGTTCGAAAATGAAGACACCCGAGTTCATAAAGCAGTATGTCGTCAAGCCTTGGTAAAATAAATTCCTGAATAAAATAATAAGTTTCATGTGAATAAATATTAAATCAGGGTGGAGCGGTGGCTCTGTGGCTAAGGATCTGTGGCTGGAAGGTTGCCGGTTCAAATCCCACAGCCGGCAGAGGAATCCTCCTCCGTTGGGCCCCTGAGCAAGGCCCTCAACCCCAACTGCTCCAGGGGTGCCGTATAAATGGCTGACCCTGCGCTCTGACCCCTAGGCTTCTCTGTGTGTCTCATGGAGAGCAAGCTGGGGTATGTGAAAAGATGAATTCCTAATGCAAGAAACTGTATAGGGCTAATAAAGGGATGTTATGTTATCATAATAAATTCCAAAATAAAATATTCTAAACGGATTTTTGGAGTGAGAAGACAGGGTACCTGTTTGGAAGGCAGACTGATCCCTATATCCCAGTGTAGGATGGTGCAGGTCTCTGGGTTAGATCATGGGCCCCACTAAGGTGGGGTAATTTACAGTTGATAAGGAATTCCTTATGCCAGCGTTACACAACACAACTTTTCTTAGGATTTTCAGTCGTAGCCTTCATTTACATAATCGTAAGAAAATCACAGCGAGTTGTAGAGAGTCACAGCGCACGCCCGTTTCTGTCAGTTGTGTAGTGTGACACCCCCAGCGTTGCCGTCAGTTGTGTAGTGTGACACCCCAACAACTCAGTCATAGCACTCTTAACAGCCCCTACGACTCTCTCAAAATCACTACGACAAAATCAAACTAGTTTACACTAGATGTGTACTTGTGAGATAATGTGCCCATTATATTATACGTTATAGCGCAATACTTATTTGTTTACAATATATGTTTTAAAGGTGTTTTATATTTTTAACTGTGTTTTATTTTTGTACATTTGTTCTATATTTATAAAGAAGAATTATATTTTTGGAGATGTTTATTTGTGGAAAACAATGGCTGTGTCACATTTTTCAAGATGTTTACCTGCTTGTTCTCCATGCTGTTTGTTTACTTTCGTGCGGCGCTCCTCCTCCTATTCCGGTGTGCTCCATGTGGATTGGCTGCCAAAACGTGGCGACCTCGCGGTACTTCACGGCTCAATACGAGATTAGGAGCCATGATGAAAAGTCGTGAGGGAATCGTATAATTAGTCACCCCCTGCGATTCCTAGTCGTATAATTCGACATCCTCCAGGACAGAAAAGGCAGCGAGATTCAGTAACTGCAGTCATTAAATTTGACATGCTCTCTGACTAGAAGTCGTGTTGTCCTGTAGTGTGACGCCGGCTTTGGCTTGTTGAACAACAGTGACCTGCCTGCATCTTGGTTAGAGCTGGCGAGCTAGCGGTATTGCTGTACAGTGTGTCACCTTTTCTCACAGCTCTGAAAGCACAGTGGAACTCATGCTGTGGAAAATGGGGCATGGCTGGTACTGTGCATGTTTTAGAGGAAGGCAAGCATGGTCTTCTTGTTTGCATGAGTTTGCATGAGTGTGAAAATGGCAAGCTGAGATGATTAACAACTGATCATTTCAAACTTGGGAGAGACGGAGGGGTGGCTTTAAAATAAAACATTTTTTGAAATCAGATTTCAGAATTCAAGGAGAAACAATATCCCTTAAGCATCATGGAAGGAACTATATTTCCACTGCTGTTTAATAACAAACTAAATGAAACATAAAACAGCCCTAATAAAATGGCCCATAATTTTTTCTTTGTATACGGTGGTAAAAGTGTGTTCACTTAGCTCCCAAATTTCAGGGAATCATTTCTATCACTGTGTTCATAATGTATATATGATGCATTCAAATACAACATGTCCCAACAAAACCCTCTCTGGATACTTAATAGCTGGACAGGTTGCTTAGGCAGCTGATGCTAAGATATGTTTGATCACCTGTCATTCAGGTTAATTCATCATAACTCACGTATATCAGCAGCTGCAGTTCAGAAAAGCTCGGACCAAAATATAAAGCAAAACAAAAGGAGTACTTAGGGTAAGTTGTCTATCAATAACTAGCAAAAAACAAAAAGGCTGGCTGAATTATGAAAAGAAGGAGGGATGTAGTGAGGATATGCTTTATAATTCCACATACAATATGGTTTTTAAACTCCTTTTTAGCATAATCAAGGCTCTGAAATTTCATAGTTTTAGGTTTCCTTAAAGAAGCAGCGTCTGAAGCTCTGGGAGAAGCTAAGAAATTTGTCTTGCTGAACCAGTAACCGGTGAAAGTAGCAGTTTAAGAGCTGCTTAAGAGCCACACTGTAGTGAAAACCTGCTGAC